AAAACAATCAGAAACAGACTTAATAAGGGGGGCCTGAGAGCCTAACGTCCTCTATTGGGCCCTGTGCTCACTGCCTGGCACCATAGAGCTCGACTGGCAGTTGCCATTGAACAGCAGAATTGGCAGGTCCGTCACTGGTGCCCTGTGCTTTTCACAGATGACAGCAAGTGCACCCTGAGCATGTGACTGATGTGAAAGGGTTTGGAGAAGCCGTGGAGAATGTTATGCTGCCTGTAACATCGTTCAGCATGACCGTTTTGGTGGTGGGTCAGTGATGGTCTGGGGAGGCATATCCATGGAGGGATGCACAGACCTCTACAGGCTAAACAATGGCACCCTGACTGCCATTAGGTTTTGGGATGAACTCTTTGGACCCACTGTCAGATCCTACGCCTGGCGCAGTGGGTCCTGGGTTCCTCCTGGTGCACAGCTATGCCCAACCTCATGTGGAGAGAGTATGCAGGCAGTTCCTGGAGGATGAAGGAATCGATACCATTGAATGGCTCTCATGCTCACCTGACCTAAATCTGATAGAACTCCTCTGGGATATGATGTTTCAATCTATCCGACGCCGACCTCAGACTGTCCAGGAGCTCAGTGATGCCCTGGCCCAGATGTGGGAGGAAATACCCCAGCACACCATCCGTCATCTCATTAGGAGCATACCCCGACATTGTCAGGCATGCATACAAGTACGTGGGGGCCATACAAACTACTGAGTACCATTTTGAGTTGCTGCAATGAAATTTCATCAAAATGGACTAGCCTGCTGCATCATATTTTCACTTTGATTTTAAGGGTGTCTTTGATTTCAGTCCTCTGTAGGTTGAAAATTTTCATTTCCATCAAATGATGGGGCATCCTTACATTCCTAACCCATTACCCAGTCCATATCAGTATAGATATCCAGCATGAGATTTTTCCCCATTGAGATCTGATGTGTTTTCAAAGTGTTTAATTTTTTGAACAGTGATAGATATATATAAATATACACACACACTCTCTATATACAAAGTACACAATATATACAATAGGCTTATTTATTATTTATGTTCTATTAGTGATAACGGAGGAGTTTTTGCTGTTAATAAAAGTTTAAATAGTTTGAGATTAATGTACTAAAGGCAAATGGACTGTGCACTTTGCAAGTGCAGTTGCTCCAGCGCTTAGTAAATGAGCAGAAGCAAAAATGCTGTTGGAGACATTTGGATACATTTGTAAATATATGTGAAGCCACACTGCCATGTCAAGGCCCCTCTGCAAAGTGTGGCCCCTAACTAATGTCATCTCCGAATTTTGACATATATAGCAAGAAATACACTGAGTGTCTGAACTAGTTAAAAAAAATGTGTTTAAAAAAACCCAGGAGGTTTTGGTTGCATATATTTGCAATCAGATGTAGACTCGCAGAGCTCCCAACTGGGAACATTATTCCAGGAAATATTATATTTCTGGTTCATCATATCTAGTGCCAGATGGCAAAAAGAAGTGAAAAAAAAAAGGCCTCCAACCTCCCCCCCCCCCCCTTAGCAGGTCCAACACATGCCTGAAAAGAGTTACAGGCCTCCAACCTCCTCTCACAGCCAGTCCAACTCACACCTGCAGAAAAGGCTACTGGCCTCCAACCTCACAGCCAGTCACAGGGTAAAATGGAAAGGTGGTGGTGTCTGTCTCTATGTTGGAGGTGATCTCAAAGGGAATGTGAAAGAGGACCTAGTTGATGAAGAGTGTGATGAGGCTGAAGTATTATGGGTGGGACTGCAGATGGGTGTGCATACTACATTAGGTAATCATTGGAGTTTGCTATAGGCCACCCAGTGTTAATGAGGAGATGGAGACTCAGATCCTTGCACAGACAGAAAGGGTGAAAATAATGGGGGGTTTTAACTACCTAGAAATTGACTGGAGTAATGATACTGCAGGAACAGTTAAAAGGAAAAAAAAATTTAAACTTATTACAGGACAATATTATGGTACAGTTCATAGATGCCCCAACTAGAAATGATGCTCTGCTGGACCAGGTAATCTCAACCATGCTGAGCTTATTATTAATGTTCATATAAACAAACATCTGGGTAGCAGTGACCATAACATGATTTTATTTACATAGTTATTCTGGCTGAAAAAAGACAAAAGTCTATCCATTTAATTTCAGCTGTAAACAAGCAACACATACTGGAAAGATAAAAATACTTCTTTCTAATTTTTACGGACTCTTTAATGACTGGCATAGTACCACTGGATTGATGCAAGGTCAATGTAATGCCTATAGTTAACCACATCCCTGCCACCCTATAGCAGATATACTGCTACAGGGCAGCAGGAGTGCACAAAATCACGTATATATATATGTGATTTCGTATTTCCGGGCAGGGAGCACACAGGAGATGCGCGCGTCCTACCCGCACAGCCATTTGCAGGCGCGGTTGTCAATCACCGGGTCCCACCCGGTGATTACTGAGGATCTCTGACAGGGAAGAGGGCTGCTTTTTTTTTTTTACGAACAGTCCTCCTCCCTGTCAGCTCAGGCACACTGCTCTGGATGGCTATGCGCATCACTTCAGTGAATATTCTCTAGTGGCCTTTTGGGTTTTAAAATCGATGTCCAGATCAATCTTACAGCCTATATCTTTAGAAGGTTAGCATAACACATTTTTTGACCTCTATTATATTGCTATCTGGATTGGGGAAGGGATATATAGCTATTTTATGATCTATGTATCTTTTTTAGATTTTGAGAACAACCCCTTTATAGGGACTATCAAGTGGTGTTTCATCCTTATGGGATCCCCCTGCTGACTTGCTTGACACGTGGTTGCTCCATGCGTTATCATCATCTATCCCGACACTTTCTGCTCTGTAGCCAATACCTCAAAGTATTTTTGAAATTATATAATTCACAAAAATTTTTATACTATGTGATATTATGCTATATTTATAATCAATCCTTTTCTCTATGTAGTAACTCCTGAAGAAGCGATACTGTCACGAAACATGTCGAGTAACTACCATGTGATTACCCATATCGACATTTGATTTATGTCTTTTGATATCTTTATTGGGATAGGGTAGATTTGTGTCAATTTTGATAATTTTTGAAGAGTTTTGTAATCAGCATAGAATACTCTACCCCCATTTGGGGGTCTGGCGTTCTTAGCGGAGTAACATGTATTACATTTCTATGTAATGGTTAACATTTCTATAATAAAGTGATTTTAAATATATTTTTGTTGCAGTGCCTCTAAAGTCTGCAATTGGCCTTATTTTATTTTTTTGGATTATTCTATTTAGTATTATGGGACATGGCACATAGGAGCCTATTATATGCCCTTAGTTGGTCGCCTTTTTATGTTCTTTTCTGATTTCCCCAATGCTCCATCTTTACATCCCCCCTTTTCTCATCTATCTTAATCACCTATTATGACCGCCTATCAGCTTATTCCTCCCTCTTCTTGTGCATTTTTTACTTCATCAATTCAGCGGATCTCTGTGTGGTTCTGAATTCCCCCCATCTTATCCAAATTTACCCATTTTATCCTATTCACTATAATATAGTTCTTCCTGTATAAATTCCACCCTTTTTATCCAATCTTTTACTTTAGGGATTTCTTGGGTCTTCCAAAATTTAGGAATCAGCCCTTTTGCCGCATTAATTGAGGAACTATTGTATTTTTGTATTGTTTCACTGTAAGGTCAGTACTGTAAAATAAACACACCCATAGGTCTTTTAATATACCTTCTCCTACAATCTCTGACACTTGTTGTACAATCAACTGCCAAAATTCTTGTATTATGGGACATTCCCCACCATATATGTGCCATTGTGCCCTTTATCCCACAGCCCCTCCAACAAAACAAAGAATTCTCCTGGTGCTACTTATGTGCACTACTAGGCGTAATATACCATCTTACCAAGAGTTTATCATTCATCTCCACAGTGTTCATATTTATTGCCCCATGAGCAATTCTAAATATTTTCCTTCTCTGTTGCTCATATAATTTTGTATCTGTATTTCATTTTCCCATTTCTCCATACATGGTGGCAGGATTGGTTCAGCTATTGTAGCGACTATTTTATGAATACGAGAAGTACAATGTTTTTGTATTCCATCTAAACTCAACAATTGCTCAAATGGTCTTGAGAACGCCCTGTGGGTGGGGCGAAACGCATTGACGTATTTCCAGTTGGTCTCCCGAACGTCCGACGTCATTTCCGGTGAGTGGAACGCACGCCGAGGGGTGCGTTCCAGGCGGCCATTTTGACTAGTGGAGGAAGTTTTCTCTATGGAGGCTGTCATCCTGCTGTATACAAAGCTGTGAGTTCCTAGGAGCTGTGGAAATTTGATTGCTGTCTGAAAATTTGATTGATGTCTATAAATAAATGCTGGTTTTTATCCTATGAAATGTGAGTGGTTTGGCTTAAATTAACCACTTGCCTACCAGGCACTTATACCCCCTTCCTTACCAGGCCAATTTTCAGCTTTCAGCGCTGCCGCACTTTGATTGACAATTGCGCGGTCATGCAACATTGTACCCATATGAAATTTTGATCATTTTTTTCTCACAAATAGAGCTTTCTTTTGGTGGTATTTAATCGCCACTGGGCGCTTTACTTTTTGCGCTATAAATTAAAAAATGTGCAAAAAATTTGAAAAAAAAAAAAAGTTTATTTGTTTCTTTTATAAAATTTTTCAAACAGGTATTTTTTTCTCCTTCACTGATTTGCGTTGATGAGGCGGCACTGATAGGCGGCACTGATGGGCACTGATAGGCAGCACTAAAGGGCACTGATAGGCAGTACTAATGAGGTGGCACGGATAGGCGGCACTGATAGACAGCACTAATTAGGGGTCACGGATAGGCGGCACTGATATGCAGCACTGATAGGCGGCACTGATAGGTGACACTGATGATGGGTACTGATAGACGGCACTGACTGGCATCACTTCTGGGCACTGACTGGCACAACCCCTGGGCACTGACTGGTGGCACTGACTGGCAGCACTGCTGGCTGCACTGGTGGGTGGCACTGGTGGGGCAGCACTGGTGGGTGGGCACAGGTGGGTGGCACTGGTGGGCACAGGTGGGTGGCACTGGTGGGTGGGCACAGGTGGGTGGCACTGCTGGGCACATGTAGGTGGCACTTCTGGGCACAGGTAGGTGGCACTGCAGAGTGGCACAGGTGGGGGCACTGCTGGGCACTGCTGGGCACAGGTGGGGGCACTGCTGGGCACAGGTGGGGGCACTGCTGGGAACGGGGTGGGCGGGGCTAGTGGGCGCACTGCTGGGCGGAACTTGCGGGTGTCACTGCTGGGCACCGATCATCAGGGCACTGATCATCAGTGCCCTGATGATCGGTGCCGATCCCCGCTCTGACAACTGCCGGTTCTCGGCAGTACTTTCCTCACGATCTGACAGCGTGAGGAAAGTGCAGCCGAGAACCGGCACTTGCATTTCCCTGTGATCAGCGTGTCATTGGACACCGCTGATCACGTGGTAAAAGGCCGGTGGGATCGGCCTTTCACCACATCACGTGATCAGCTGTGTCCGTAGGACACAGCGATCACGGAGATCGCCGGGTGCGCGCCCCCTGGGGCGCGCAGGAGAGCGCGTTCTGGGAGGACGTCATATGACGTCCACTCAGAACTGGCCGCCCGCGGTGAAGCCGTCATTCGGCTATGCGCGGTCGGCAAGAAGTTAAATAATAAGGGGTATAACAGTATTACACTATTAGTCTTTTTCTCCCTTTTGGAACTTGGTGATTTGGCGAGGGGACGAGTGGAGAAATACCCATAGATCTGAGGTGGAAAATAGAAGAGTCCTCAAAGGGGGTCCAGGAGCCCGAAATAATCCTGAATGGTGTTTTACGCACCAATATCTGGTGAGTGCGGTTTATGTTGGTTTTGGCACTGGTGGATGGTGGAAGAATTATTTGAAGCACTGAAGATTAATTTTTAGAAAGTTTTTTTTTCGGGATCACTGGACTTTTGATTCATGAAATCATTTTTATATTATTTTTTATGTCACGGGTTTGTGGTCACTTATATTTATCACTGGACTTTAAAGATTATTTAAAAAAATGTTTTTATAATTTTATTTTCACTTATTATTGTAATATTTGTGTTTTGCGCTGGTTTATATTGAGAAAATTTGTTTTGGTTTATATACCTATGCACAGCAGCATTTCACTTAAAATTGGTTGTTAGTAGATTGGTCCTGGGCGCTGTGTTTTTTCTATTTAAATCCATTTATTTTATCTTTACATATTTTACCTTTTGGTTTTTTTATTTGCCCATATATACTTCACTATCATGCCTTTGAGAGATTGTTCTTTTTGAGACTTTCCTCAGTTCATCTTATCTCATTTATTAACGGGGTATAAATTTACCTGGTATATAGGCCATTAATCTTCACTGCTGCTCAGGGATGACTATATAGGTTTTTTTTATCCACTTAATCATTTTAGGTCCTAATCCTATTGTCTCTAAAGTACTCATCATAAATCCCCAGTCTACCCTATCAAATGCTTTTTCTGCATCTATAAACAGCAATCGCACAGGGGCCCTCTCCCTGCTACTCTTTTGCAGGAGAAACAATGACCTCAGACCATTATTTCTTCCTTCTCTCCTTGGTATAAATCCCACCCGGTCAAAATGTATCCATTCCGACATAAGCAGTTTCATCCTAGTAGCAATGACTTTCGCATATAATTTTGCATCAGTATTTAATAATGATATTGGTCTATAGCTGGCACATTGAGATGGATCTTTACCTTCTTTAGGAATAATTGGAATATGTGCCAGCAATGACGCTTTCCTCATTTCCATCCCTTCTCCTAGTGCGTTCATATACAGGCACAATTTTGGGCACTAGTAGTTATTTAAATTTCCGATAGTATCTCACTGTATATCCATCTGGTCCTGGACCCTTCCCTGCTAGTGTACTCTCTAATGCTATTTGTATTTTTGCTTGTGTTATCGGTCTCTCAAGTATTTCCAATCTTTCTTCTAATCTAGGCAATCCTCCTGCTTTTAAATATGTATGAAATTTTGTTCTATCTCCCTTCAGATCTTCTTTGTCTTTAGTTTTAACTGCATACAACTAGCTATAGTATTTTTGAAATACACTAACGATCATTCGTGTTGGATATACCATCTCTCCAGTTTTATTTCTTATCTTCCCTATGTAATTTACTGATTTTCTTTTTCCTAAGTATCCTTGCCAGATATTTTCCTGGTCTATTCCCCCCTTGATATCTTTCTTTTGCTACCCTATTGAAGACCTTTTTTGTTTTTTGTTCCGTTAACTCACTTAGTTCTGCCCTCTTTAATGTTATCTTATGTTGTACCTCTTTTTCTGTTCTTCTTTCATGTACCGTATTTTCCAGCGTATAAGGCGACTGGGTGTATAAGACGACCCCCTAATTTTCCAGTTAAAGCATAGGTTTTGGGCTATACTCGCCGTATAAGACTACCCCCCCTTCCGAGGCAACACCATTTAAAAACATCAGATTTTTTAATTGAAATGGTTATGACTTACCGGTACTTAAAATCCTTCAAAATCCTCATGTTCATCCTCTGACATCATAAGTTCATGAATGACATCTTGTGATACATTTGTAAGACAGTCATCATATGGATCAAATTCCAAATCAGATGGTTACCGCTGGATGTGCGGTAATACGGTAGCTTCGGCTACATACAGTATACATACAGCCCGCTGGATGTGCAGTAATGTACATACAGTATACCTCGCTGAGCCAAGCTGGCTCAAAACAAATGTCCCTTTGACAGATTAATCTGTCAGCCCGCTGGATGTGGCATATACAGTATACTGAGTATATACCACTGTGGTATATACAGTATACTGAGCCAAGCTGTTTCAAAACGTACCGGTACGTCCCTACGGTAATCAGATCGCTGGATGTGTGTATGTACAGTAGCTAAGGCTACATACAGTATACCCTGGGCCAATCACGGCGAGCGATTCTACTAATGAATACAAAGCCTGCTCGGATTGGCTGAGGTTGTGACATCATCAGCCCACCTCTCTGACTCAGCCAATCCGAGCAGGCTTTGTATTCGTTAGTAGAAAACATCACTCGCCATGATTAGCCCAGTGTATACTGTATGTAGCTGCAGCTACCGTACATACACGCATCCAGCGGGCTGATTACAGTAGGGACGTACCGGTACATTTTGAAACTGCTTAGCTCAGCGCAGTATACTGTATATACCGCACATCCAGCGGGCTGACAGATTAATCTGTCATAGGGACATTTGTTTTGAGCCAGCTTGGCTCAGCACGGTATACTGTATGTACAGTATTACCACACATCCAGCCAGCTTAACCCAAACGCGTATAAGACGACCCCCAATTTTTGGGGTATATTTTTAAGTATAAAAAGTAGTCTTATACGCCAGAAAATACTGTAATTGTTCTAATTCATATAACTCCTCTATTAGTATTCCGATCTTTTCCAACCGTTTTTTCTTTCTTTCCGCTCTTATGGAAATCAGAATACCCCTTATATATGCCTTCTGGGCTTCCCATATCAAGGTCAATGAGACACTCTCAGTTTCATTTGATGAAAAGTAGTATTCGATTTCTTTATCCTCGCTTCCTTCTCTTGATCCTGTAAAAGTGTCTCATTTAACTTCCAAGCATTTATATTTTCCAGATCTCCTCTCATTCTCAACTTCATTATGACCGATGCGTGGTCTGCTAATGATGTAACCTCAATATTAGTCTTAAACAATGACTCTAATAATCTATGTGCTATCATTATATAATCCAACCTGGAGTATGTCGCATGAACAGAGGAATAGAATGTACAATCCCTTACTACAGGGTGCTTTGATCTCCAGGTGTCTATCAGTAGGCATTGCTGTAGCATCCTTTTTATAGACCTTAGTCGTTTACCTCCATCTCTCTGTACATGCGACCAAAGTATCCAGCTGAGGATCCATACAGAAATTAAAATCCCCTGCCACAATCAAGTTCCTTTTTTTAAAATCCATTAATTTCCTTAACATATTTTCAAAATACACCATTGGGTTCTTATTTGGACAGTAGATATTTGCCAGTGTACACTCCATACCATATAGTTTCCCCCCTTAGAAACAAAAAACGACCCTCTGGGTCCACCAACCTGTCTTCTATAGTAAATCTAAAATTTTTTGCTATCCCAGTAGCTACTCCCTTAGCTCTTTTCATTGACGAGTCCGCATACCAGTATGGATATTCTCTTGATTGTAACTTAACTCTTGTATCATGAGATATGTGTCTTTACATCTGTTGAATGTAATACACTTCCCTAATAATCTTATGTCTTTTAACCGCAGTATTCAATTCCTTAACTTTATGACCTCTAATGCAAACTATGTTTTTATCAGTCACCCCTTTATTTTAGATCTTCTTTTCAACAAATCCACGTATAGGGAGATTTCAATGTAATAGGTTTTGGAGTCAACAGAGAGTTTCAGGGTCCCCCCTTCCCATACCCTCCTCACCTCCCCTGACCAGAAGCATATCTGGCCTCCTTATGTCCTGCTGCTATTAAATCTATCTCTCCATACCTCCCTCTTGTCCTCCCACCCTATTTATCCTCTTGGGTATCACCCTTACTTCACTTCATTATCTTCCCCCTGTTCTTGTTCATTCATCCCTTTTCCATAGTAACCTGCCTCGCTAGACAAAGTGCTCGGAGGGAAGAGACACTTGGAAAAAAAGAGAGAAAAAAAAAAAAGGAAAGGAAGGAAGGGAACAAGAGGATCCAAAGAAAAGGAGTTAACTTCTTACTCTGCCCCATCAAATAAATTACTCCTATTTATAGTCTTAGAAAAAAAATTATCGTCCTTACTCCATTGTTCTCATCTCTGTTGCAGTCTTTTCCATTGTACCAATTGCCACCTTTCCTTTTCCAGTCCGGTCTTCTCCTTTTGCCTTTCTGACCATTTCGGAATACCAGGTACTGCAGTTCTAATCTTCCACAGAATTCCTGGAGATCTTCTGGAAATCTCAATCTAGCTGAACGAGCATCTTTCCCTCGGGCCCAACAGGCTGGAAAATCCCAGTTATATCGAATGTTCTCTGATCACATTTGCTCCAGCAACGGTTGCAGGGATCTCCTTCTTGCTAATGCTTCAGGGGCTATATCCGCATATATTTGCAGATTCGCTCCTCCGTATGCTATTGAAGGTATCTCTCTCATCTTCTCCCAGATTCTTACTTTCGCTTCATAATAGTGAAATCGCACTATCACATCCCTAGGGGTTCCAATAGTCACTCCTTGGAGCTCTTCTTATCTAAAGTACTCTATCAAATTTCAATTGC